TATTATTTTTAAGAAAATTCTAGCCACAGTTAGAATTTTTTTTAATCATGAAAAGCTTCAGTTGTTTGTTAAAGTCACTGTTCTAGGAAATGCACTGAAGGGGAAATCTCAGTCTTCGTTTACCTGATTTTGAGGATAGAATCTGGGCAAGTCCTGTAATACTGGACAGTGGAGTCAGATTTGGTAAAGAAAGAGGGAAAATTATATTGCTAAGTTGACTTACACCCTCTGGGAAATGCTTCAACAGTGGATCTCCAAGATTTATGGGTTCAGCATGAAGCAGATCACCTCTCCTTTGGGCTTTTTTCATTTCCTGATGAACTAAAACAAATGGAAGGCAAAGAATGTAATGGCAGAATGCCATTAAACAGTCATACAATTGTTAATTATGCTCTCACTCCAAAAGTTGGACTGAAAACCTTGCTCTGAAAACAGAAATGCAAACTTGAACTATTTTTTTTGGTGGTATGACCCATAAGAAGGAAAAAAGCATGCTCCTGGTGAGTGTACATAGTAGAAGAAATTCTAAAAAATGTATAAGTAATTTAAAAATTATCTTGGTTTAGACATGACAATTTAACTATAGGGCCATTATTTCATGTCTTTAAAAAGTAAAGACTGAACAGATGTGCATTCAAGTTTCAGAAAAAGATGTGTTTTTACTACATAAGGTAGCTGAGCACATTCTCTTCCTGTCATCTCTAAAAATGGAACTACTACCCTTCTTGCACATACCCACACTCTTCTTGCTAAGAAGCCTCTATTTGCATTTGATATTTTCCAGCCAGATGAGCCTCCACCATATTCATGCACAAGCCTTGGAGAAAGAAGATCTGTAACACAGCTAGCACAGGTAAAAATCTAATATTTGGATCCCGTATCTTCATTTCTCTAATAATGGGGAGAGAGCAAGCCATCTCATACCCACCCTGACATCTGATAAGGGTCTTCGCTGAGCACCAGTATGCTATCAGCAGTTGTGGTTCACTTACAGCCATACCAACAAAAACACAGGATCTTGCGTGTAATGATATAGACTTAGGAAATAAGCTGCAAAAAAAGGAGATTTCATGGTATAATTTAAACATTTGCTTAAGAAAAACCCCACCATGCCAAGAGCAAATACCCACATGCTACATAAAAATAAATGATTGCCATTGTTGCAGTCTGCAGAGCTATCTATCTCTGCAGTTTCCTGCAATTATAGCGTAAGTTTGAAAATATCAATCACCCTTGACTCATAGCAAGAGCATCTGTAATTCAACTGACAGTTTCACCAAGTAGTCCAGGTTAAAATGATGTTTTAAAAAGAGTTTGAAGTTAATGTTACTTTTTTTTTCCTGTATTGTCCAAAATTCACAATAGGATGATCGAGAAGAAACAACTTTACCGTTTCTAACCTTTTTTTTTTTTTTGTAGTTGCTTCTACAAGTTCCCAACGGATCTTTCTTGCACTTTTTCCTTAGGAATAGAATGATCAAGTCAATGTTTCAAATCAATGGTTTAAGGGACAATTCCTATACGCCCTATTACAAATCTGTCATCTCCAAAACCCAAAAGCCTCTTAAGCATAACCAAACTTACCAAACACACTGTTTCCACAAAGTAGAGTTCTCTGAACTCATCTTAATGATGAGAGCTGTATATATGTCCTGCTGGTCAACTATCAACAGTTTTGTTCTTGTCCTTGCACAGATCTGGGGATTATATTCTAATACTTCCAGTTATGCTGAAGCATGATGATAATTTGCAGGAAAAAAAATTAAAAAAAATTACTAACATTCACTTAGATCCAAAACTAAGAACAGTCTCTAATTTTTATCTGCCGTTTCAAAGAATTAGGTACTTTGAAATAAAGCAGTTGCTGCTTAGGTGGGACTGAGTTACTTGCTCTACTGCAGTACATTATGAAGTCACTAGGAAAACTGTATGTACAGACTGCTGTGCAGCTGAGCACAGACTTAAGGTCTATCTGTTGCCTGTCCATAGCTTGAGCTGAGAAAGCAGGCTAGAAGTTTGACTTCACCTTAAATTTTTTTTTTTTTTTTTGCGCACACCTATAGTTCAGTGTTTAGTACACTTCTTGTCTGCAATAAGGGCAGATGGGATTTACTGACAATCTGAATGGCAGCCTTGGGACCATCCCTGACCTTTTCGATAGTCTGATGTTACCATGAGCAGGTGCCTTGAACAGATGGAATTAATGACAGTGGTTGCACAGGGCACAGTATGCCCTTCCTGTCCTAGGGCTAGTTTAGGTCTGTGTTCAGTATTCAGTATAGCAACTGTATTTTTTCATGACTAAGCTCTGCTTTAAGAGGCAATATTAGAAAAAGCTAAATTTAAACTAGCATTATAAAAGAAAAACTTACTTCTTTTAAAAAGTCCTACTGTTAAGTCTAAGTGTAAGGCTGGTGCCCGATACCTGCTTCTGCAGAAAACTTTCCAGTACTGAGACCTTTATTTGCCATACACATTCATCCATTTCTCCTTTAAACAAATAGGAAGTTCCCTGGCACAAAAAAGATGCCTTGATGTAGTATTTCTCTATACAGCATCCTCCACTTGTCTCTCTGCTTTTCAGTCAGCTTAACAACAGCTGCGCTCCAAAATGATGTTTCCCCATCCTCTGGCCTACGGGCTTGCAATACGAAGTTCATTCAGGGTCCTTTCAGCTGGCTTATTTATGCTCTGGAATTTGAATTTCCCATTTTTGCCACCTCAGGAGACATTTTTCTGTGGTCTTCATTAACCATTTTAAAGTTATTTCTCAGAAGCTTTACTTTAAGCATTCTATGTTTAAAAAAAAAAAAACTGGAAAAGAAACACAAATTGAAGTCTGTTGGCTAAGGATATTGTTTCCTACTCAGGACTATGACATGAGCCGGGGAAAAAAAAAAATATACTGCAGTGTGACCCAACAATAAGATGAGCAAAAATACTAGGATATGTCCTCCCCTCCCCAGTCAAACGTAGATATTCACCACCTGTTAACATGCCCAGGCCATCTGGCAGTTGTCCTACACTGTTAGAGTTTTAAGCCATGGAAGCTAGGGCCTGACTTAACAGTTTATAGCAATTTTGACTTTTCCAGATGGAGCAGCTTAGTCTACTCTGCATCTCCCAATTGGTGCATTAAAAAAAAAAAAAAAAAAGCCTAACTAGGCATTTGAAGTTCCCTAAAACAAGATACAGACAGGCATTTCTCCTGCCCCAAAATAACACAGCAAAAACTCACCATGATCCCCAGCTGCCTCTGCACAGCATGCTTACCTCATTATGAAAGTACAGTTTCAGTCTTTCTTTAATAATACTTTCCTCTCTCCTGCAGCGTATCCAAAAAGCATCAGTATAACTGATGCACCTGCTATTATAACTACAGTACAGATAGGTAAACAACATTAAAGGGTGAGTGGGAGGTGAGGGCTGTAGAAGATACACAGCCTAAATAATGGAAAAATATATGCATTAATGGCGCTGAGGCTTTGTGCGCCAATTATGAATTATGCAGTTTAAAAGGAGCAGCAATACTGGCTCCAGCAGGGTCCTTAAACTGAAGTTGCCATTTCTTCAATATGGCTCACATCCAGCAGGGAAAACTGGGAGCCAGCCAAAATAAAGTTTTAGTCGAGCTGGTTCAGATGCACTTTCTGTGCTGCTGCTACTGTGACAACAAAGTGCTTAGGCGTTACCCACTAGCCTATCAGTCCATTAGACTTATCCATTAGATACACTGGAGAAATGCACGAGAGCTGGCATCTCCCACAAACAACAGAAGGTAGTCAAGGCTTCCTCAAGCATGAGGTAGTGCATCTCCCATTTTGCTGCTACCAGTTTTATATTGAAAAAAGGCACAATGCACATATTCTCCTCCCACTGCATCACCATCACAAGAGCAGCTGATGTGAGGGGGGTTAAGTAGGGCTGAAAGTGGTTTTTAGCTTTTAAAAGCCCCATAATTTACTTATAAAAGCCATCTTGCTAAATTGACAATTCTAGCTTCTAAGACCTTAGAGAGTTTATCTTTACACAATTCAAACAGCATTACATACACTTTATAAAAAGATCATATTTTGTTACATAGAATGGATTCACTATGAGGCCGAAAGTCACTGTTACCCAGGAAATTAACATTAAAGAATTGCACAGTCAAGAATTCAAAGTTGCATAAAAGCTATATTAGAATTAGAGCTAAGTATCAGAAAAAAATTTTTATACAGAAAGCACGTGTGATTGAAAGTATTCATAAAGCATATTAACAAGGCAGATGCATCTTTATTATAGACTGAAGGGAAAAAGCTGATGCAACTGAATTGTTACAAAAACATGTAATATTACCTTTTATGTACAAGATTAATACAACACCTTTGTTTTTACTTTTGCAGTCTGTGCTGAAATCGAAGTTTGAGCTCCCCCTTGTGTATCAGCATTCTGTGTGGAATGCACAAGAGTTGGGGCCTTTTATTCGCTTATGTCTTATGGATCAAAATTTCCCAGCTTTTGTGGAAGATGTGGAGAAGGAATTGAAAAAACTAACAGAAGGTTGAGAAATATTAACTTATTACCATTAGAATATACAGCACTCAGGATACACAAACAATATCGTTAAATATCTGAAAAAAATCTCACACATTTTTGTCAGTGTTTTATTTTTAAAAACAGGTGAATCCACTTTTTATACATCATTGCACTTCAACAAATACACAGAACACAAGTTCATGCATCTACAGTTACGCACATCATGAGAACCCTGTTAGGTCTATTTCTACAATCTTTAAATCATGAGAAATTACAGTGTCAAACTAAAGAGTATAACTAGTTGCATAGAATATCACCATGCCGTAACATTTCATCATCATTTAAACAAAAAAGAAAATTATAAAAGTTTGCCTGAATTGAATGTACAAGGATATGTTGAACACATCAGTGCAAAAGGATTTGAGAATTTACATGATTTAACAAAAAATCACTTAAAAAGCAATCATATATATATATTTATAAACTGAAGTTTTGTTTTTGTTTTTAACTGCATTTCACCACCACCATTTTGTTGACCCATTCCAGCCATTGAAGTCTGATTATTGGACACCCAAGTCTCCCTATATAGGTTAAGCCCTTAAGATAATTTCAATTTATATTACTTCTCTAAGTACCAGAACAGCATAATTCTCTCATCTTTCAGACATACAGTAAGGAATGAATATCAGCAGCTTAAAAATGAAACACATTTACTGTATTTTGGTTCCCCCCCCCCAAAAATATAAATATATACTGTATATATTTTTAAGTTTTGCTGTACTTTACAAAAAAGTATCACTAGATGGCAGCAGTGCGTTTTAGAGCTTGGCCAATTTAACAGCTACCTTAAGTAAAAAAAATGGTGCATGCATGATCTGACTTACTACTTCTACCATTTAAATATATTAAGGAAAAAAAGCAACATTCACAGCACATCAAGCCCAAAATAGTTTACACCTTCTACACTGAAGCATTATTAAAATTTATCTGGCTAGGTCATCCTTACAGGAGAGGCTAAATAAGGCATGCTTTAGACAGTCATATTGTTGCTCACTTGAAAAGGAAGAAGAAGAAAAAAAGCCAGACAGAACTGGAGTTCTAGAACCAAGAGTTCCAACCATTAAATTTAGCAGGTCATATTGCCATCAGTCTCTCAGAAACTTAAAGCTCTAAAAAAAGAAATGAGAAAAGGTATTAGTCAATGACTGGCAGCATTTTCAACATCATGTGCCATAACAGTACGTTAAAAAAGCGGTTAACATCTGATTTGCTGTGAAATGAGATAAAGGTTTCCCAACCACGGTTAGCTTCCCGATATAAGATTGAACAAGGAGCCTTTTTTAGTAGTATTTTTCTACCAAAAATGCTAAACTATGTTGTGCTAAGCTACAGTTGTGATTGCCGAGGGTTCTGCAGCTAACTCAAGAGACCTTCATATTTTACGCAAAAATCTTTTGATAAAGCCCCCATGTTCTCTGAAACATGACAGAGTCAGGAAGACTAGTGCCATGCACTGAACAGCTGACAACTTCTTAAATGCATGGACAAGTTAAATTTACTTAGCCCAGTCCCTACCAATTGCTACACAAAAAGGAGGACTTCAGCCTGACCATTTCTGAAGTGTGTGCAAGTCGTACTTACATTATCAATGTTTTTAATTTGTGTTTCTCTGACGTAAGTTTTTATCTTTATGATTGTTTGTAGAATTGGTTTTCCTGGAGAAAGAGGTAGAAAATGCAAAGTCATTCCCAAGCGTAGGAAAAGTTTTCTTTGAACGCACAGTTAAATCACATTTCATTCTTCCTCCTCCTGCCTTCTAGGTGGTTAAAGACAGCACAAAACTTTTAGCCATGTATGTTGATACCTTCTTGTCCAGTGAATTAGTCTCCTACATCTAACATTCTGCTTCCTAGTTTTACCACTTATATTTTACAATTGAAGCAGCCTCTTTTTCCAGTTTGCCAATTACTTATTATATTTGCAGTATTATATCAAATACATCATGCTAAAGCAAAAAGTGGCCTCCTGACTGTCTTGCTTAAATACTTGTTTCCAGCTCTTTCAACAACATTGACATTTCCAGTAACTTTGCTATAAAAATAATCTTCTCTACTCCAGTGCTTACAAATGACAAAATGCTAGGGTTCCCAAGCGTCAGTGATGAAAGGCTTGTTTTACTTGAAAGCGTTGACTTTTTCGTGGCTAGTCCCCTTACGCTCAGACTTTTTAAACTCTCTTGCTCAAACAAGAAATCAGAAGTGGCCAGTTTACAGGGTCTTCAGAGCAAGAATTTTGCCTGCTTTTATGTAGCAATATAGTACATGGCCCACTGATCTTTATTAAAGCTTTAGAGTGTCCCAGTCAGTAATGTTACATGTAACATAAGTTTTAAACAATGTAAACTCCCATAAAGATCCCCTTAAGAAAAATATTACTGAGATTACTCAACGTGCACTTACATTGGCCCAGCTGGTTCATCATCTGCAGCAAGAGTTCAGATGCAATCCAGTGAAAGACAGGGAAAGGAAAGAAAAAAAAAGTCAGTGTTTGGTTTGCTGTTTCAATTCAACTAGTGTACAGTACAACCTACAGCATTAAAGGCCATTCCACTTGGGTAGTGCAAAATTCATGGAGTTATTTTTCTGGATTCAAGTTTTAATGGCAAGTATGTTGCTTCAATGGTTTTAGTTAACACTTTGAATGCTTGTCATGAAGAACTGCAACTGTAGCGGACAGATTGTTGCAATATGGTCATACTCATCTTGTCCCCAAGTTCCAGTGGTTCAATCTCATAAAGTAGATGAGAAGACAAACCAACATTTCAGTTGTAAAATCCTGCTGTTTGTTTTCTTGCATTGATTTTTTTAACCCATTCTTCAACTGCTGATGGGTAATTATTGGTATATACACAGCATGGTATATACCATATGCACATCATCTCCCATGGATCATACAACCATTGCATATCCCATTTTTCTTGATGTCTATTTATACTGGACCAGGTTAGGAGGAAGTTGAAGGTGGAATAAAGTATTGCAATATCCAGACGCAGTCCTTAGATAGCAGCAGGCATTGTGCGTGCCTCTAATAGAAAACAGGACCCAAAACACCAGGAAAAAATAACGGTGTTGTAATAATACCCCTAGACACAACAGACTTCAGCTACAGAAGACTGATGGCATTGTTCTGCCTGTGTCTTGGCAAAAAGCCAGGGAAAAATAGTCTCTTTTAGGAAAAAGTCTGTCAATGAGTAGCGTTTCATATTAGCTCTTTCATGACCAATTGAACGTTATTTGAATTATAAATATGTTTTTGCCCCCAAGTTGCAGTATAGAAGGCGAAAATTAAGTGCATTTAAATAGCAGCACAAAATTAATCCAGAAAGTTAAAACGTTCCTGTAGAACTATTTTGGGGGACCAATTCACAACCTGCTATTTTTAGCATATTAACAATTGCTGTTCCCCCTCGTGCTAGTAGTTTTTTTTCACTGAAGTCTTTAAGAAACTCTCAGCAGGATTCCACAAGGGGGCTTAGTGCACATGAAGCAGTTATGGAGATTACAGTCTTAAAACAGTGTAGGCATCCGCATGAGCACACACTAGGAGTAATGTCTGTCAAATGGGACATTACTCCACCTGTACCTTCAAGGCAACGGATAGGCAAAGCCACCGCTAGCACAGACAGTGACCGGAACAAAAAAAATATTTCAAAAAATAAAGAACTAACCACAAACCAATAGCTTTACAGCCAAAAATAACATACTAGCGACACACCAGTGTCCACAGAAGTCCATTATCAGCAACAGTACACTATCGGACAAGATACAGAGAAAACTAGGACTAGTAAGGACAACCAGACATCAATGTGCTGTTGTATAAACAGTGGAGATAATACAGAGACACATCAGGTACTGAAACACAAAGCACAGTAGAATAAATCTAGATCTTCCCTTCACAAATATCTTTTGACTCACAGAAGATTTCAAAACAGACTAGACTACGTACTCTGTATGCTCCGTGGGAAGAATGTTTTAACAGAATTGGACAGACAGCAAGTTCTTAATCCCCCTCTCCCCCCACTCAGTAGTGCTACCAAAGCCATTCTGCTTTAAGACTTGGTTATCTCAGCTTTCTATAAGCATAAGCAACATCTTTGAGAGTTTGTTTTGCTGAACTTCAGAAATATAAAACCGCACCATTAAGATACAAGCTCTCTCTTGCTAATAATAACCATTTTTCCTCTCGATTAAAATATTTAGATGCATATTTCAGATAGCTAATTTTTGTGTGTCAATAGAAATGCTTCAGGTTTATAAAGGCTGCCAGCAAGTGTTTTCCTAGCAAAGATCCAACAAAAATGCCTATCGGAATACTTATGATTATGCATAAGGTCTAAGACTGGTGGATCACCACCACTCACCTCTGTCCCATCTATAATCTAACAGGTGATATAATGAGGCCAAGGAAAGTTTCTCTATGCATTACTCTCCTGGACAGCCATTTAACTGCTGAAGAAGCATCCCCAGTACAGTACAATACAGTACAGACAGAATCAAAATCCTAGCAAAATCAGGGGGAACAGAACAACAGAAAAATAAGTACAAAATTAGACTAAATAAAGATTAAAAACAGCAAACTGAAATCCAAATTAGTTGTGAACGTGAATGAAGAAGTTTTAAGAAAAAGTGTTAACGTTATGACTTGTGCATTGTATAGACTGAAGCGGAGATTAAACAAACTCCAAAGCATGCAGATCTCTCACTTACCACCATTTTTAAGGGTATGATGCAATTGAAGGGGGGAAAAAAAAGAAGTCATAGTAACCGACAAATATCAATATAACTCAAAACCTTTATGCCAGAAGACCTGCTCTAGTAACCGACTGTCTCTAATGCAATAATACTTGAAACATATGGCCATAGAGAACATGCCTCTGAGTATGCTTCTTCATTCCATTCAGTACCTGCAAGGCTCCTGAAATACTACAACTTGAGCTCTAATTTTATAATTGACCCTCATTTTTCAGGAATTTGCGTTTTAATTTGGAACAGATCTGCAGGCTCCAATAAATCATTCTTTATGTAATATAAGATGAAAAATACTACCAAGCCTTCCTTGTAGGTATAGTGATTATCTGCTTAATGTTGCCCTCAAATAGCAGACTTCAAAACTGAACGTTTAGAATTGCTACTACCTGTAATGCACTGTATAACAAGTACAATCAATCCTTCTAGCCAAAAAAAAACAAAAACTGGACATTAAAACTATATGATGATGACAAATAGATCTAGTTTAGCTTTCCTCTGACTTGTGCATCTGGTGAGGTCATGTGTATATTAATTGTCTGGCAGCAGCACTCTCCTGCTGCAACAGTCTGAGAAGGGGTCTTGTTTTTGTGTCCTCATCCCCCCCGCCATTGCTTTCACCCTTAATTTAGAAGTCATTTTGTATGTTACTAAGTTAAATTTATCTCCTTTGAAAAATTACAATATTTATTTTTAACATCAAATTAATCTTTTGTAGTCTCTTAGGATTGGTGGAAGTTAAAAATGAAAAAAATTTCCAAGCAATCCACACAAGGAGGAGTTAGGAGACAGACCGCCTCAGTCTTTGTTATGACGACACACAGCAACAGTGAAACCTGCTGTTATATATCAGTAGTGAACTCGAGTAGTATTAAAATACACACCCAAGCAGGAAAACGTCTATGTTAAATTTCTGTTCAAAAACCCTCAA